TGAGGTGTGGGCGGTGCGGATGGATAAGAAGATGAGCCTCGTCGCCTCATTCATTATGGACTGTAATGGTGCAAGTTGGGAGCACGTAAGACCACTGAGAAGTGGATTACAGTAGTCAAGGCGAGAAAGGACAGTGGAATGTACCAGACCTTAGTTGCATCTGGCGTTAAGTAGAGTCGGATGTGCGCAATGTTTTTGAGATGGAAGCAGCAGGATTTGGCGAAAGACTGAACATGAGGCGTGAAGGAGAGGTTGGAGTCAAAGAGAACACCTAGGCAGTGAGCCTGCATTGTGGAGCTGATGGTAGCACCGCTGACTTGTAGGAAGACAGACACAGGAGTAGCAACACTTGAGGGAGGAAAGACCAGAATTTCAGTTTTGGTCAAGTTGAGTTTAAGGAAGTGGGCAGTCATCCAGTTAGAAATAGCAGAGAGGCAGTCAGAGACAGTCAAGAGGGACAGGGAGAGATCAGGAGAGGACAGATAGATTTGCGTGTCATCCTCATATAAATAATTTTGGAAGTCAAAGGAGCTAATGAGTTTACCAAGGGAGGCAGTATAGATGGAGAACAGTAGGGGACCAAGGACTGAGCCTTGGGGGACACCAACAGAGAGGAGTTGGGGAGAAGAAGTAGAGCCAGAGAAAGAAACACTGAAAGAGCGCTGAAAGAGGTAGGAGGAGCACCAGGAGAGAGCAATATCTTGTAGACCGATATTGCGGAGGATGAGAAAAAGCGGTTGATGATCAACAGTGTCAAAAGCCGCAGAAAGGTCAAGGAGAATTAGGATAGAGTAGTGACCACGACATTTTGCAGTGAGTAGATCATTGGATACTTTGGTCAGTGTCGTTTCTACAGAGTGCTTAGCGCGTAAACTAGACTGAAGCGGGTCTAGCAGAGAATATATATCTGATTGGCTAATCTCCAATTAGTGTTAACCACAACACGTGGGAGGAGTTTCTTCCCTCCCTTGTGGTCTCTGAGGTCATCACCGTGTGCTGGGTCACATGACCGGGTGCAGCACACATATAAGGAAGCTACTCTGGAGAGTGCAGCGTCAGACACACTGCCAGTCTGGAGACAGAGACCAGATGACGCTGCTCGCTGTGGTGAGGTAAGCAAGGTTGCTGCAAACGGCGCGGGGGCAGGGTACCTGACAGCGTTGCTTATTTTACCTGGATGTGTAATTTTAACATCATCCTCTGCCAATAAATGCGTAATCCTAGACTGCAAAAGCTTATGTCGAAGCTTCGAGGCCAATAAAGAGGAAGCATTATTACATTTCGAATAAAAAATTTGCTTCAGTTTCTTTAATATGAAGGCCGTGTGTTCCAACTGAACTTCATGAATTTTATCTTTTGTTTCAGATATTATTGCGGCAAGAGAAGGGAAAGGTCCAAATTTATTCGCCTGATTGAGATTATACAATTCCTTCTCAAAATCTTTAACATTTTTGGATCTAATTTTCTTCAGATAGGAAGTGACCTCTTAATACTGCTTTATGGGCATTCCATATTGAAGTAGCATATATATTTGGATTCAAATTATTTTTAAAATAATCCTCAAGTGCCTCCTTTGCTAATGAATTGTTTTCTCTTCAAGTTTGACTGGGGGGATTCCTCAATATGTATAATCACCGGGGCATGATCTGACCATGTCACACCTTTTATTTCTGATATGAAAACACAAGAAATATCCTGTTCTTCCACTAAGAACCTATCAATACGTGAATACATATTATGCCTGGTTGAGTAATACAGTACTTTGCAAAAGTATTAACCTCCCTTGGCATTTTTCGTGTTTTTGTAGCCTCACAGAACATGCCCACAACTTTGAAGAGGTTTTTTAATTTTTTTATTGTGATGCAAACAACAAATATGACAAAATAACAGAAAAAGTCAATGTGCATAACTATTCACCCCCCTAAAGTCAATACTTTGTAGAGCCACCTTTTGCAGCAATCACAGCTCTAAGTCGCTTTGGATAAGTCTCTATGAGCTTGCCACATCTTACAACTGTGATGTTTGCCTATTCCTCTTTGCAAAACTGCCCCAGCTCCTTCAAGTTGGATGCTTTGCGCTTGTGAACAGCAATCTTTAAGTCTGACCACAGATTTTCTATTGGATTGAGGTCTGGACTTTGACTAGACCATTCCAACATATTTACATGTTTCCCCTTAAACCACTCAAGTATTGCTTTAGCAGTGTATTTGGGGTCATTGTCCTGCTGGAACGTGAACCTCCGTCCTACCCTCAAATCACGCACAGAGTGGTACAGGTTTTGCTCAAGAATATCCCTGTATTTAGCACCATCCATCTTTCCCTCAACTCTGACCAGTTTCCCAGTCCTGGCTGATGAAAAATATCTCCACAGCACGATCCTGCCACCACCATGTTTCACTGTGGGGATGGAGTTCCTTGGGTAATGTGATGTGTTGCAGGGTTATCTTAGGTCTCTGTGCTGCCTCTCTGATTAATGCCCTCCTTGCCCGGTCCGTGAGTTTTGGTGGGCCACTGTCTCTTGGCAGATTTGCTGTTGTGCCATGTTATTTCCATTTGGTTATGATAGATTTAATGGCGCTCCTGGGGATCATCAAAGATTTGAATTTTTTTTATAACCTAACCCTGACTTGTAAATCAACAACATTGTCCCTTACTTGTTTGGAGAGTTCCTTGGTCTTCATGGCAGTGTTTGGTTAGTGGTGCCTCTTGCTTAGGTGTTGCAGCCTCGGGGGCCTTTCAAAAAAGGTGTGTATATGTAATGACAGATCATGTGACACTTAGATTGCAAACAGGTGGACATCATTTCATTAATCATGTGACTTCTGAAGGTAATTGGTTGCACCAGAGCTTTTTATGGGCTTCATAACAAAGGGGGTGAATACATACGCACATGCCAATTTTCTGTTTTCTATTTCTAAAAAATAGTTTTATGTATATATTTTTCTCATTTCACTTCACCAACTTAAACTATTGTGTTCTGATCCATCACATAAAATTCAGATTAATAAAACATTGAACTTAAGGCTGTAATGTAAAAAATAACAAAAATTCAAGGGGTGAATACTTTTGCAAGGCACTGTATGTGTAGTACTTCTCTCCTTAATGCTGAAACCGCCAGCAATCGAATAAGCCCTGTGAAAAAATTAATTTTGTACAAGTCAGCTAGTTTTTTGCTAAAGTTATTCTGGGGTATGTGGTCACTTTCTCTGACAATATCTTGATCACAATCTAATACAAAATTCATATCCCCTCCTATGATCAGTCTTCCCCGACATTGTCTGAAATCTTCGCAGTTATTTTCCTCAAAAATTTGAGCTGTCTGGTGTTAGGGAAGTAAACATTTGCCAAAGTATAAGATACATTATTAAGCATACCCTTCCAGATCATATACCTACCTTCTTGGTCAGTAACCACCTCGTCGGTGCTGCAAGCCACACCCCTATGAAAAAATTTGGAAACACCTCTAGACTTTGATCTGAATGTGGAATGAAACTGAAGAGGATAGTTTTTAGCTAGAGTAGATGGAATCTTACCGTGTTTAAAATGTGTCTCCTGAAGAAATAGATTTATGAGTTTTCGTCTCCCCTAGCAATAGCCTACATTTATGTGGGGTGTTTAGGCCCCTCACATTTAGTGAAAAAATCTTTATCACCATATCTATTATTTTTTGTTAACGATCATAGAAAATGTAATTAAAAAATGTAAAAAACTGTGAGAGGCCAAAATCACATCCAGCAGCGTAATAAAAAGTTGGAGTTGCATAGGGAGAGAAAAAGCTAACTTACCCACCTGACCCGAACTAGTATAGCATCCATATGTTACAGCAGAAAGGAATATATTCAAGTTATGTATAAAAGTCATATATACATATCTGGAAATATTGGTCTTTTGTTTCAAAAAAATTATAACATTGAAACACTGTTTAGAAAAAAATAAGGGAAGAAAACTTGGACAAAGCCACCTTTAAGGGGCAAAAAATAAAATAAAATAAATTTTTTTAAAATTAAACATATACAAGTAAGAAGGCCATGAGAGGTGAGGTAAAAATGTTCCCTCTTACCAAAGTAAATTTACAGGCCTATGATGGGGTGGCGGGGAGGCACAGTGGCATTGGGTATTAAATCAAAATAATATTAAAATCACAAGTTACGAAAAACCAAATAAAATTAACCATAAGTATGAAAGAAAAAAAAAGGGAAAAAGGAAGGAACAAAAAATAAACATAAGGCTTAAGAGTTACACTATTCATGTAATAAGCAAGTCAATCGCTTTAAATTTTCAGCATTAATGGGAAGCAGGAACCTGGAGCCAACTGAAGACTCGTATGAACACTTGACAAACCAGGGTTTTAAACATCAAAGACAGGAATCAGGATTTAACAACCTAACTTCCATAATGAAATCCCTTAACCAGGAACCAGGAACCGTCAGCAAAACAAGCAACATACAAAACTTCTTATTGGAAGCCATAAACATCAGGCAAGTCCAGCATTTCTTGAGATAATCCAACAAGCGGACAGGAACAGGAACACTGAAGATCAAGACAAGCAATCCGTCAAGCGGCATTTTAACAGAGAATTTGAAGACTAGACTTCCGTAGACTTGAACTCGTTAATCAGGAACTCGGAAACTGCTTTGGTCTTTAAGAAGCATCCAATTTACTCCTCTTGCTGGCCTTTACAGGTATCGATGGTGAGAGCATATGAGATGGTACAAGACGTCTGCTCAAAGAGTCTAGAACTTCCGATTCTTCCTGGGGTGACGAAATAATTACATTTTGCCCATCTATTCAGAAAAGTACCTTAACCCAGAATCCCCACCTGTATCTTATCCTTCTTCGACGCAACTCTCACGTAAGAGGCTGGAACTCCCTACACCTTCTCATCGTGTGGGCTGAAAAGTCTTAGAAGACTTTCATGTCTTTATAGTTCCCAGGGAGGCCAGACATGTGCACCACACCCAAGAATTCCTCTTTTATGTGATAATAGTGGAATCACACTATTACATCCTTGGGCACAGCCGCAGGTGCACTTCTAGGTTTGGGCAGCGGTGAATACGATCTAATAATAATTCCGAATTAGTGGCATTCGGTTTAACTGCCCTCACCATATTTTGACAGATGTTTGGTATTTCCGCAGTGTCGATATTATCAGGGATCCCTCTGATCCTTAAGTTATTACGTCTACTTCTGTCCTCAGCATCTGCCAACTTCTCCGCCTGTTGATTCACTTGTTTTTGACTTGCCTTTACTGTGTCAACCAAGTCCAGATGTGATTGCTCTTGAAAATACAATCTCTTTTCCACTTCCTCCATGCGCTGGTTAATTCCTTCCATAACGCCATAAATTGTCTCAAAATCTTTTTTAAAATAATTTTTTACGTCCACTCTCAAGTTCTGAATAAGTTTAATTAGCATGCCAGCTGAAGGTGGTTAATCTTCAGCCATTTCAAGTGGCATAGTAGGGTTGTATGTTACAGCTTTAAATGTAGTGGTAGCCATCTTGGATGTGGCAGTGGCCATCTTGGTAGTGGAAATAGCAAGTTGTCCAGAAGCATCCATCTTAGATGTGGCATGATCAGCAAAACGTTTTGTAGCAGCAGACATCTTAGTGATGGCATCGGGCCTAATTCTTTGTGACAAGGGAGACTGTATAGTTATATCTTCTGAGCTGTCTGCAACTCTCTCCATCTATTTACTCATGCAGGAGTTGGAGGCAGAGGCTCCCCCCCCCCCTCCCGCCGAGGACCCTGATGGGGAGTGGGACCTCACAACCTCTTTCCCCTCCTCCTCAGCCCGGCCGCCCTTATATATGAGTTATATATGAGAAATTTCCCGGTATCCTGGTGGGCCTTTAACTGTGACCATATAGAGTAAATCAATTGCAATTTACATAAAAGTGCAACATTCTTAGAGCAAACACAAAAGAGTTTTGGACACATTTATGAGCCTTTGCATTTAATGAAAATGGTGCTGATGTTTCAGTGCTCTGAATTAGAGTCTTCTGTGCTCAAGGAACAAATCTCTGTGACTGCCAATGATGTTGACCCTCCACATTCTAGTGTATCTGGCTGTTCTTTGTATGGAACCACACAATACAACAGATCTGTGTCTTGAAGCACAAGGTTTTTGGGTGGTCTTGTGATCACATACCTGAAAAGCAAAAGAAACAAATCATTCAGCTTAATACTGCTGTTCAATAAAAGTACATCTGGACTTACAACAGCATAAAGGCAGATACTAAAGTGGGCAGCGAATTACTCCATGTATCTTAGTATAAAATAAGATCTCTAGATTCCAAATTGTAGCAGAAGGGTAATTTCATGAATCCCTTATTAGAAGGTACATACAAAGTAATTTGGCAATATTTTGACCCATACTGGTGTAAATCAAGATGAGACTTTATAAAAACCTAAAGGTCATAACATTGGGTCAAAACCGAGGTCAAAATTTTGCAGTCAGTTTATGACTAAAACTGTTCACATAGAATCACCATTTTGTCTTTTAGCACAATACATAAGAATATGATTGTCTCATTCATGCCTGGAACATTATGTCTGTGTGTTTTTCAATTTAATATTGTTGGATAAACTTTTCAAATGATTTAATATTTTTTGGATAAACCTTTAAAATGATTTAATAATTTGAAAAATGTTTTAGTATCTTAAAGGGTTACTGCAACCTTTTCCCCCAAAGTCTATTTTTAAAGTATTAGGGAGGGAGGGGAAAGCTTTCTTCCTCTTGCAGGCACATTTTTATGTCTGTCAGACGTACTGATGAGAGACACAAAATATGCACAAAATTGATATTAGACAGCCTGGAACAGAGTTCTGGGCTGCCTATGTCATATGTGCAGGGGGTGCGACTAGCCCCCAGCATAAAATAAAAAAATAACTTGGTATGTGCAGTGTTGCTAGATGTAACCCTGAACAGACATAATCTTACCACCATGAGCACCTCATATTACTGAAGTGGCCATAGTGGTTGGAGTAACCGTAATATTTAGAAATTATAGATTTTATACTATTAATATTAATATTTTAATATTTTGAAAAAATAATTTGAAAAGCTTATCAAAAAATATTAAATCAAGACCTGATTATTGTGATACACCCAAACCTTATTATTTTATGGATAACAATGCTATTCAAGTACTTTAAAGTGAATAAATAATTGGTTTTCAAACTTCTACTGTAAAAAGTGTTACAATACAATATAAAGCTCTAATGTTGAACTGCTTTCTTACAAAGATTAGTATGGGTATGAATGGCCCTGGCAATTTCGAGATTGTCTGAATTTTATGTATAACTAAGATATATGAAAATATTTCAATACCTTGACAATCTACCTTATTAAATACTTGATTCCCCTGTAAAATCTGTCTCTCACAATTAGATTTATGAATCTCGCTCAATTGATTTTTAAAACTTGATGAGAAGCCAAAAATGACTTAACTCACTAGTAGATGACAGATAAAAGACAAATGTTTACATTTAAACATAAAAGGCAGAAGAAGATCATTGTGTTTACCTTAGTGCTATCTTGTGAGGGTTCCCAAGAAACACTAGTTTAGGTTTTGAAAAAATATAAGGAAAACCTTGTTTTGGATGTATGTTAAACCGAATATATTCCATATATTGCTAGGATATCGGAAATACAAAAAGAAAGATAATTTTAGGTATTCTTCTGGAAAAAATGCATAGAATATGCCCTGAACAAAAAAAGAAACAAACAAAAAAAAGATATGGTGAATTATCTAAAAATGCAATATGTCTATTTTCATGAACCACAGCTGTTTTTCTATTATTGTTTTGCATATTAATTTTGGCATATTTTGCTAAGTTCTTCTGCTTCTTATTACAAAATTAAAATTATTTATATATATATATATATATATATATATATATCATGTGGCAATGGTTATTAGTCAGATTCTTGAAAAAGCTTTTGCAGCCTGGGGCTAAAGCAAATTATTGGTACATTTTACAAGCATAGTCTGATGAATGTTTCATATTTATGATTTGATAAATATGCATGCGATATTGTTTTAATAAAATGTCACATACGTTTTTATGATGTACTAACAGGAGTCTAAAATTTAACTGCAAAACTGTTCATTAACTATGACGCACCCATGATTTTATTTAATATAATGGTGTCTTGCAGGTTTGCTTCTTGATAACTTTAACAAAATTTAATTAAAGTCTTAAAAAAAGTATTTCATAAAGATATAATGTTTATGAAATACAATTTTTTACTGTGTTGGACTTTGTCTCTATATATTTCTTATGCCTGACACTTCTAGACACTAGGTGGAGTTAGTGCCATCTAGAAGTGTCAATTACCCCAGCTGTCAGTAGTGATGGCTGTAGAGAATTGATTCTGTGTGTGTGGTCCTGTGGTCTCACGGGATCTTCCATAGAGCTCAATGTAGCAAATCTAGTGCATGTGCGAGAATACAGCAGTGACGTCGGTTCCTGGGATTGAAGTGCCAGGAGCTGAGGAACACCCACCAGAGGAAAATTGCAGCGCCCACGAGCAGGGCCGCCATCAGAAATTGTGGGGCCCCTAACACAGCTAAAGATCTGGGCCCCCGCATGCCCGCCTCCAAGCCCCGCCTCCAGATCCCGCCCACAGGAATACACACACAGAGACACAAAAGGACACAGACACACACACAGAAAGATACACATACTAACAGACACAAATACTGAAACGGACATACACACATATACAGACACATGCATAAGGAGATACAGATACACACACACACACACATACTGACATACAGACATACACACTGACATACATACATACTCACATACTGACACACACACATACATACAGACATACATACTGACAAACAGACATACATAAATACATACTTAATGGCATACATACACATACATACTGATATACATACAGACATACATACACATACAGATAGATATATACATACACGGATACATACAGACATACTGACATACACACACACAGACATACATGCATACTGACATACATACTGATAGATAGATACATACATACACACATACATACTGACATACACACACAGACATACATACTGACATGAACACATACAGATAGACACACACATACATACAGACATACTGACATACACAGACATACATGCATACTGACGTACATACACACATACATACAGACACACATATACATACATACACACTGACACACACACAGACATATATACAGTCTGACATACACACACACATACAGATGGACACACACATGCATACTGACATACGCACACACATACATACTGATAGATATATACAGACATACATACACACAGACATACTGACAGACACAGACATATATACATTCTGACATACATACACACACACACACGTACAGATAGACACATACACACATGCATACTGACATACACACAGACATACACACACACATACTGATAGATATATACATACATACACACACACAGACATATATACATACTGACAAACAGACATACATACATGCAGACACATACATACTGCCTGGGTGTTCTTTTTGACTCCAACCTCTCCTTCAACCCTCATTTCCAATCAATCGCCAAATCCTGTCGCTTCCATCTCAAAAACATAGCGCGCATCTGCCCCTATTTAACCCCGGATGCGGCTAAGGTACTGGTCCATGCTCTTGTTCTCTCTCGCCTGGACTATTGCAATACTCTTCTCAGTGGTCTTACATGTTCGAAGATTGCACCGTTGCAATCTATAATGAATGCGGCGGCAAGGCTCATTTTCCTGTCCGCTCGCACCTCCCACGTCTCCCCGCACTGTCAGTCCCTGCATTGGCTGCAAGTTAGATATAGGGCTCAATTTAAAATTCTGGTGCTTGCTTACAAGTCCCTACATAATGCTGCTCCAACCTACCTATCCTCCCTAATACACAAGTATGTCCCGTCGAGGCCCCTGCGCTCTGCCAAAGACCTATGTATATTCTTTGTCCGTACTCCCACCTCTAACGCCTCCAAGACTTTTCCAAAACTGCACCTCTTCTGTGGAACTCCCTTCCCTCCTCTGTAAGAATTTCACCCAGTCTCCACTCATTCAAAAAATCATTGAAAACTAACTTCTTCAAGAAAGCATATCAATTAAACTGTTAGCAGGTTTTTATCCCCCACCCTCCATGACTCCTCTCCTGCAACTGTCAAAAATTACCTACTAAGCCCTCAGCGAATACTTTTCTAACAACTTACTTCGTATGGTGACCCTTTGTGTCACCATACCCCACTCCCTCTAGAATGTAAGCTCATTGAGCAGGGCCCTCCACCTCTCTGTTCCTGTACGTCAAGTTGTCTGGTTACAATTAAATGTCTGTTAGTCCACTCTTTGTAGAGCGCTATGGAATCTGATGGCACTATATAAAAAATAAAATAATAATAATAATAGTTCCACTTATGGAATTTGCTCAAGACAAGATAAATGGTCTGAAAGCAGTCTACCTCCCAGGACCGGAGAATATTTTGGCAGACTATCTGAGCAGAACTATGATCAGGAAAATGGAAATTACATCCAGCAGTATTACAGATCAACTTGATGGCTTCAGACAGGAATGCTCAAGTCTCAAGTATTTTTCGCTACAAGCAGACTATCGATCAGCAGGAAAAGATGCCCTTTCCCTTTCCTGGGACTTCGATCTGGGGTACGTATTCCCTCCGTTGCCTACGATACACCAATTGTTGAGGAAAGTTTGGAGAGAAGGTAAGATGGTTATAGCAATAATTCCAATTTGACCAAGAAGACCTCGGTTCCCGATCCTGAACAGAATGAGCTTGAGTCCTCCATGGCCGCTTCCTCTGAGACCAGATTTACTAATCCAAGGTCCAACGATTCATCAAAATCCCAACCCAATGATACTAGGGACCTGACTCTTGAAAAGAATAGACACTTAGAACAACAATTACCTGAATTTGTGGCTGAAATACTTTTGAAATCGAGAAAAAGTTCCACTTCAGCATGTTATCACAGGACATAGGATATTTTTTGTTTATGGGCAGAACAAAACTCCATAAACTTCCTACATCCTAATAATATTGCTGTTCTAAATTTCCTACATGTTGGTCTGGAAAAGGGTTTTAGCCTAAGCACATTAAAAGTATAGTCATCTGCTTAACCTGCATTGCGTAAAACCTCATGAGCATCAGATCTTCTGATAGCCAGGTTCTCCAAGGCAGTTATACGTATTAGAGCCCTCCATCCTTGGGATCTTCCTATGGGATGCTCTGTCAGACACCCCTTTTGCTCCTTTGGATGAGTTGGGTATTTATCTTCTGACATATAAGACATTGTTCTTGGTGGTTACTGCTAAAATAATGTCTGAAATTCAAGCCTTCTCCGGTGATGGTATAAGGAAGGAGAAAAAGGTGGCGCCACAGAGATAATATATAAAATGAAATAAGTAAGTAGTAATATAGAAATAAACAATGATATATAATACAGAGAGAGAATAAAAATAATGATAGGTATATATATATATATATATACATATTTGTGTACGGCACATTTCGAGGACATAGGGAAACAATAATAAAAGAAGCAGTATTAGTAATAGCCAAGTCAGTTGAGGTGTACCGAAACTGACGTGAGGTTAGGCCTGTAAAAGAGGGCCCACCTAGGTAAAATGATAATAATTGAGGGTGCGGTGAGAGGGGCAATTCCGAGAAAGTTGATGACAGGTAAGCAGGGGTTTACTGGGTTTAAATAGGGATCCAAGTGCCTCCCACAATTACAGGCCAAGCCTTCAATTTGTGTACGGCACATTTGGAGGACGTAGGTAAACAATAATAAAAGAAGCAGTATTAGTAATAGCCAAGTCAGTTGAGGTGTGCCAAAACTGACGTGAGGTTAGGCCTGTAAAAGAGGGCAAAAATAAAAGAAGCGATTCTGATGTGGAATCAATCAATTAATTGATTATCTTGTGTATCTGCCCCTGGCCAAATTAAAGAAGTAGTGCGTGCACGCTCCTAAAGTAATTCACACCAGACACAGGTTTCGGGTTAATGAAAAACTTGAGGAATGTTTATTCTGGGGGGATGGCATGCCCCTTATAAAGCAAAATTACATCATATGCTTTGTCAGAGATAACATGAAATAATACATCAATAATTGGTTAGGTGTTAAGTAGTTCATTTATTGCTCTTCCTACCGGGTGTGATGTCACTGGTATCTTGGAGGACTCCCCCAGATTCCAGCGCCATCTTGTTAGTGAGGGTGTTAGTCGATGTCGAAGGGGAAACTCCCTAGCGGCCATTTTAGGTAAATCACATATAAAGTTGAATAATGCTGATTGTAGGTATGATGAGTAAATAGGCAACATAAATTGAGTTAATATTTTTGTCCACAACAGTCCCCCCTTAAAATGACTATTTACTAAAGGGACAACAACTAACTGACCCTAATAATGTCCCTACTTGGCTGCAGCTCATCTGTCTGAACAGGCCTCGAACGCTTCACTGCGCGGGTATACCATAGTGGCTCATCCACTCCTGCGTCAGACTTCTACCCATGGAGACAGACGCTGTCCCTATAAGGAAGTAGTTGTCTTTTTGAGGTGGTGGGACTGGTGTGTGCAGTGTGTCACAGTCTATATCGTCAATATCCTGATGTAGGAATGTAGGTGTGGTGTGGTCAATGGTCTGACCTACAGTCTTCTGTAAGTATTTCTGCACACAGGGCATCACGCAGCAACCCAGGAAGAGAAAGAGAATTACCACAGTAAGAACCGCCATACCTATTTGAAGGAGAGTTTTCTGCCATCCACTCATCCAACCAAACCATCTGTCCCATGAATTGGGGACTCCCGAGTTCTTTGTTAATTCATCAGAGAGACTTTCTAATTTCTCTATGGCCTTAGTTACCTTACCATTGGGGCCTGTATTGTCAGGGATGAAGGTACAGCATGTCATAGTATCGGCAAGTATTTTACACACGCCCCCTTCTCTGCTAGTATCATGTCTAAAGCCATTTGATTCTGAAATGTTATTTGGGAGGTAGTCTGTAACTGTTCTGCCAAGCCCTGGAGGGCATCTCTCGTGTAATTGACAAAGCGTTGCTGATTATAGTAAATATAATTGATCCAATTAACATTCTTATTAGCGGTGATGATTGGGATCAAGGATTCGAATCCTGCCGAAAACTCATCTCTGGCCTTGAACTCGTTTGGTACACCTATGGCATCGCTATATATATATATGTGGGTCGAAACTGTCTCGAACAGGTGTTTCTCTTTTTACCCTAAAATACGTGTGTGGTGAATCAAGTGGGCCTTGGTGGTTATCAGAAATTATATGTATGTGCATGATAGCTTTGGTCAAAGTGCATTCTCCCCACCACAGGCCAGTCATCTTAGATCTCAGCTGCATGTCACCACATAGCCAATAAATGTCTCCCACGGACTTAAAATGATTTACTAATAGGGCAGTGGGAGGTTCTCTATAGGTAGTACAGTAGCCAGAAGGGAATTTACCCACAAATTTTCCTGTGGCTCCATGTATTTTGTAGCAACTGTAGTTACCTGGGTACACGGTGATCCCATCAGGTGGCTTGATATTCCCTTGGGTTATTGGGTATACCTTTTTCCATGATTCACACACAGCTGAGTTTGTTGGTGACTGCACATAGAGACTTAGGAAACAGATTTCAACATCTGAAGGTAGACTGAAGGGCACTGTACCCAGATGGGGTCTGGCCCCTCCACAAACATAACAGTTAGTTTTATTGTGTGAATTAGCATTATACCTCATCCACTCAAGCCATAGATTAGTATCTGAAAACCCGGTCTCCACAGCCATAGTGTCTTCAAACGTGGGATTAGCAATGGCTACCAGGTCTTTAATAGTTTTAATGTGTGGTTTTAGAGGGTTAATCGTCATGTGTGTAGAGTCTACCCAGTCAGGTGACGTAAGCATGTCTTGTAAATAGAAGGTCCCCAACTTGTTATATGAGCCACCTCCTTTCCAATACATTCCCATTACATACTCTCCAGCGTCCCCTGGGCTGGGATGTTCTATGTTTAAGGTGAGTTTCATTGGGGTATCCCTGTTGGCTTACATAAGGTTATTCTGTGTAACAAAGGTTTCCCATATCTGTCAATCCTATTTAAGGCACTTTGTGGTCTGTAGCCCCATGGTCGGCCTGTGTTCCAACCCGCTGCTTTCCAGGTACCACAGTGGTGTCCCCAATGGCCGCCTGTCACACAAATGTAGGGGTCCTTCTTGTTCGGTATGTCTTTGTATATTGCTGAGTGTTGTGACTGTGGAAAGGTACAAGGAACAATATCACAGTAATCAAAGGTAAAAGTAGCTACATGTGTGTTTGAAGAGTTATACCAGAATGTGTAAACATGATTATCTTTGGTAATAGCAACTTGTTGGGCCATTAATAGGCCTAGCAGCAAAAATAGGCACAGGAAGCTCATGTTTTGGCGGAATCTGCTTCCTCTGGATCAGGAACTTTCTTACAGTGTGAGGCGTGTATCCAGGTACTCTTCCCGGCCAACTTTACAGAGGTAGACGTAGTCAGTAGCACTTGGAATGGACCGTCAAACCTTGGCTCAAGGGTATGTTTTCTGAGAAACTTCTTGACCATGCCCCAGTCACCAGGAAGTAGCTTATGTGTGTCTGTATTTGACTCTGGATCTGGAATAGAAGAAAACACTTGTGCATGGATTTTGGTCAAAGCATGAGAGAGTGCAGTTATATAATCTACCATTGCATCTGACTGAATTTGGAGTTGTTGAGGAAAGTAACAGCCTAACCTAGGTGCTGTACCAAATAAAATCTCATAGGGGGATAAGCTAAATCTCCCTCTTGGAGTGTACCTTACACTAAATAGTGCTATAGGAAGACTTTCCGGCCAGTGTAGGTTAGTTTCTTGGTCCATCTTAAGCATTCTGGCTTTCAGAGTGCCATTCATGCGTTCTACCTTACCACTACTCTGTGGGTGATAGGGTGTGTGGAATGCAAGGGTCACCCCCAGTGCTGCCCAGATTTCTTTGGTTAGTAAGGTGGTGAAGAATGTTCCCTGGTCACTTTCGATCACCTCAGGAACTCCGTATCTGCAGATGATTTCGGTAAGTAGATGCTTTGCCATGGTCTTGGCAGTGAGATCGGTGACTGGAAAGGCTGCTGGCCATCCTGAAAACATATCCACTATGACCAGTGCATATTCATACCGGCCACGCTTTGGCATTTGGATATGATCAATTTGGATCCTTTGGAAAGGGTACTGTGGCTTGGCCAAATGGTTTGGTGCGGCTTTAATTATTTTGCCGGGGTTACATCTGGCGCAGATTGTACAGGATCTGCAGTAATTTCGTGTCAAAGTGGTGATTCCGGGAGCTTCAAAATATTTATCAATCAAAGAGTTCATGAGATGTTTAGATAAATGTGCTGGTCCATGGGCCCACTGGATGACAGCTGGGTACATATTCTTGGGTAGACAGAATTTGAGGTTTATTGTGTATACTTCATTCTGGAGGGTTGCCCCTTTATCTTTCCAGCTTTGTTTTTCTTAATGGGTGGCTGCGGCCTGTTGTTCTCTTAGGAGCTTGAGATCGGTCGGTAAGGTCTGCATAGTGTAAATAGGAGTCTTTTCAACGGGCACTCTTCTGTCCACTTCCCAACACTTTTGCGCCACATCCTTAGCGGCCTGGTCGGCTAAGTGGTTGTCATGTGCTTCTTCTGAATTTAGTCTCCTGTGGGCCTTTACCTTCAGTATGGCCACCTCTTCAGGAAGCAGTAAAGCGTTCATCAATTCTTTGATAGCTGCGCCATGTTTCACAGGGGTACCTGTTGCTGTAAGGAACCCCCTGGATTTCCAGATTAAGCCAAAATCATGTGTCACGCCCAGAGCATACCTTGAGTCTGTGTAAATATTAACACGCTTCCTTTCAGACATCTTACATGCTACCGTGAGGGCTATTAGTTTGGCTTCTTGTGCTGACTTAGACGATGGAAGTGCAGATGCTTGGAGTATTTGGTCTTCGGTGGTGAGGGATGTTTGGAGGCAGAGGTGTCTCTGGGAGGAGAGGTGTTTTGGTCGGACTTGATTCAGGATGGCTGTGATATCATGGGGAGCAAGGACAGTGAGTTTATGTCCGAGAAAAAAAAGTCATTAGTTTTGTCCAGCAGGGCACTGGCAGCAAAAACAGCACGCAAACAGGGGGGACCACCTCTAGTCACGGGGTCTAGCATGCACGAGAAGTAACATATAGGGCGTTGACGGGAACCATGTGATTGAGCAAGGACCCCTGAAGCATGGCCCATCTTTTCTGAAACGAACAGTTTGAACGGTTGTTGATAGTCAGGTAGGCCCAAGGCAGGGGCAGAGGAGATGGCTCTTTGAAGGGCATGGTAACAGGTGCGAGCTGTAGGAGACAACAAAAAGGGTTCAGTCTTCAAGGCGTCATAGAGAGGTTGCATAAGCTGAGAAGCCACCCTGGTCAGGGATCCAGGACCTGCAGTATGTAATGAGGCCCGAGAAGGCATGAAGAGCCTGATGGGTGGTCGGAAGGGTAAGGTTTGTAATGGCAAGTACTCTGGTCTTCGTCAGATGACGGGTGCCATGGGAAAGGCAATGTCCCAAGAAGACCACAGAGGGCCGGCACCACTGGAGCTTCGTTCTGGAGGCTTTACATCCTTCTTCAGCAAGCAAACAAAGGAGATCTTCGGAATTTTGTTCAGCAGTTGAAAAATCATCCGCACATAGGAGTAGATCATCCACATACTGGAGCAGGACCACATCAGGGTGAGACTTCTGCCATGGTTCTAGGACAGCTGACATAGCTTTTGCGAATTGGGTTGGGGAATTCTGTGCACCTTGAGGCATAACAGTCCAAGTATACTGTTGATGATCGTGTGTGAAGGCAAACAGATATTGACAAGAGGGATCCAAGGGCACGCTGAAAAAGGCGTTGGCAAGATCAACCACAGTGAAGAATTTTGCTGTGGGAGGGACTAGTGACAACAGTGTATGTGGATTCGGGACAACAGCAGTGTCTCGGTTGGTGACCTCATTAACAGCGCGGAGGTCTTGAACCATACGGTATTGGTCAGGTTGGCCTTTTTCAGTCTTCTTCTTTACTGGAAATAGAGGGGTGTTGCATGGTGAAACACACTTGACCAAAGCACCTTTTGCCAATAGACTTTCAATTTGCTTTGAGATGGCGAGTGCTTGTGCAGGTTTCAATGGGTATTGTGGTCGTCGTGGTAGATTAGCTCCCTTTATTAGCGTAACTACCACAGGTGGGACTTGTAGGCGTCCAATGTCATCAGGACCCGTGGATCAAAGTTTAGCAGGGACTCTATCCAGGGACCCTTACCTCCTCGGTGGGGGATGTCATGTGTAGTAATAAGGGCAGAGAGCAGAGGACAGAAGTATCTTTACGAGAAAGGGGGGTTAATAATTGGACCTGGCCATCAGCAGTGAAAGAGATAGAGGTTTGAAGACGGGACAGAACATCAGCACCTAAAAGGTTAATTGGACAAGTGGAAGAGACAACAAAGCGTGAGAGTATGTCAGAACCCACCCGCAAGAACTTGGTTAATGGGTTGTTTCTAGGGGTGCCATCGACACCAACACAAGAGACATCTGTGTTGGATAAGCAAGATGGGTCAGGCAGGTCTTGTTCTCTGAGAACACTGCGGGCTGCACCTGTGTCAACTAAAAAGGTAGTAGGATGACCCTCTACAGGTAGGACTACTGTAACGAGAGGCACCCCTTTGTCCCCTGTAGACACTGCCATGACAGGGGTGTTAGACACAGGTTTGCCGGTTACCTATTGCACAAGGTCTAGATGAGATTGATTAGTGCCAGTGTAGTGACGTGTGGTTGTGGTGGAGTGACTGGCCTGAACACAGGATTAGACAGTCTAGTGGTCAGCTGTCTAGGCACCCTGGGGTGAGGATAATCTCTCCTGAAATGGCCCAGTTGGTTACAATTAAGCATGCCCTAGTTTGAGGCCTAGGGGCGGGTATCATCTGCTGTCCTTGTGCAGCTGGCATGGTGGATGACACGGGATATCCTGGGGGGACCGGGGCAGGGCTATAAGCGGAAAACATTAGGGGATTATTTTTCCTTTGTGGTGGTTGTAGAACAGACTCTAGGCCTTTGGCAACCAGTAAGAGAGTGTCCAGAGGAATCATTCTATATTCGGGGAGAGAGAGCACTAGGTCTTTCCTGATGGCTTCCTTAAGGCCAGCATCAAATGCAGCAGATAACATCTGGGTATGTGCTTTGTTGTGTTCACTAAACCCAAGGTCTGAGAAAGTTTGGGTCAATCGTGAATGGTACTTCTCCACGGACTCGAGTTTATCTTGTATAGTGTCACTTATACAAGTGGCTTGGTCAGCTAGTTTATCCTGAGCCCAGGCTCAAAGCTGTTCACAGAAAGTAATACCCGACTGGAAATCCTTGTCGGTAGTGAGGAGAGCATCATTAAAACTCCTTTCCATAATGGGCCAATAGGCATCCCCAGCCTTGATCTCACACAGACTGTACAGATCACGCCAGGCTGCTGAGTATGTTTTACGAATCTGGGCAATCCTCCGGAAGAAGGGCATGGGTTGCTTCTCAGGGTCGGGAAGAGAGGTTACTAGGGTAGCAGCTTGGGAGGGATTGAAAGTAACATACATCGGGGGAGCCCCTTCCGCTGATGATAAGACATAGATATGGGTGACCTGTCTCTGGGAAATCCTATTATCCGAAGGACGGAATGGGCTGAGCCCCTGCACATTGTCATCCTCGGGGGGACCAGAAATGGGAGCTGGCAACATCTGGTGAATTAGGGGCTTGAGCGGCTGGAGCATCGGTGCCGGGGGAACCGACAGCAATGGCCTGGGGAGTAACTAACTGGCAGGCAGTGGGATGGACGCCTGACACTGCAGGAGAAAAGTCTACAGCATGAGGTTGTCCCAACATGGTAAACTCATTCGAGCCAACTACCATATTCGGATAACTGGGAACCATCATGAGGGAGGTGGAAACAGGAGTTGGAATGGGCGAGGGGGCAGACTGGGTAGGCTGAGGCAAATGGGCGGAAAGGGCGGAAATGAGTGATGAAAGATCAAAAGAGGGAGGGATAACAGCATTAGAGACAGGAAGGGGATGGGAAT